CCCACACATACTGTAAATGCTCTAAATCTCTCTATATTATAGAAAATGTTTCAGGGATCAGCCTTTCTTTTTAAAATGTTTTCAACACATTTTCCCACACATACTGTAAATGCTCTAAATCTCTCTATATTATAGGCTGATCCCTGAAACATTTTCTTTCTTTTTTGTTTAACCAATACACAAATGACATGGCCAGGTACCAAAGTATGAAAAGATGAGGAAAGGAGTATGTTTTTATATGAGTAAGAGAAAATTTACACTCCTGTTACCTGGGATGAGAGTCTTTACATTTCAGGATATAAACACTATGAAGTTATGATATGGATTTTTTTTTTTCAATTATATATACTGATTTGGGGTTATATTCCTTACTTTTAACTGAATACTTATAGTTTTACATTGTGTCCTAACAAAAAAGTTGCCATTTCCAACAAAAAACATTTCAATGGAGAAAAAAGATGTATCCCTATTACTTCTTCACAGTCTCCCTATTTATAGTTTTCAGATGTTAGTACAAGGGAGCGTGCTGAGAACATAATTTCTCTTTCTGAACAATCTGGTATTGGTCTGCATTGGAACAAGGTTACTAATTAGAGGAGCAATTCCTATGTTTTCACATCTGTAACCCTTAAAATTTATGTATAATTCAGTACAGACTATAAAATACCTTATGAAATCTCCTTCCGATGTGTAAACATCGTTTATCATCAACTGGAAACTGTTCTGTGATTGCCACTGGGTTTATATCAGCTCCCTCTGCTGACTAAAATGCACACAGCGTAATTCAGTTGTGAGTTGTTTTTTTTTTCCTTTTCCATGAATTGTAGAAAGTATAGAACTGCAATGAAGACTGCTGAATAGCACAGAAATAATTTCTTTTATAATCCAGCCAGGAAAGTTTGGCAGTTCAAACCTGACTACAGCAGTACCAATATTATCAAACCAATGGATTAAAAAAGAAAAAAGCCATACACTATAGAAGGAAAAAAAAAAATCTATGTGCCCTTTAGAAGGAAAAAAAAGGATGCTGGAGGAAGAGTATACAAAAGAAATACCATTTGGGGGTAGTATTTAAGAAGAACAGTTTATTTTATGTCCAGAATTTTGAAGCAGATTTGGGAAGCTACTTTTGGCACTGGTGTCAACTGTTTGTTAGTCAGTTTTTAACTGCTATATATTACACTGAGGTAATAATTACATAAAGTATTTTTAAATATGCCGCACACATGTCTAAATAGATTTTTCAGATGTTCTTAGACAGCAGTGCAAAGACATCTTTAAAAAGTTTATGGGAAATATCAGCCAGAATTATTCTGACTTTTAGCAATGAGTTATCTGGGAAGATGGGAATTTCTTCAAGTATTTTAATATCTGCCCACATGTAAAGCTGCAGAAAAGCATCAGTTACCTATCTCCATATTACTTTTCTCTTACAAAAATAATCAACCAACCATCACGAAAAATTGTATAGTCAAAGCAAATACCTCACAAGTATCTCAGAGTTAAAATTCTGTAAAATTGCCAAAGTATGATTTGTTTTTCCAGCCCTAACTTCCAATGTATTGATTTTAACTTTGACTGGAAGAAGAATTATACTAAACATTTCAGTCACAGGACACAGGTTTTAACCTAGCCTTGACAACAGAACTTGGTATTTGTAAAGGAGAGAGACTTTTCTACATCTTCTATTTCTTTCTTATACTGCCTAAAATTTCCAATGAGGATGAAATGACCTTTTTTTCCCTTCCCAAACTGAGATAACAATTCCTCTAAATCCAAGGTCCTATAAAACCACTCTAGGTTCTGGATTTTCTTCACTTACACCCAATTCTGCATTCACTTTCACTGAGAAAATGAAAAATGATAAATGTACAATCAAAAGAAGAAAGTAGAGCAATAAATTGACTACAGCTTATAAAACCAGCGTATTGGTCATAAGATGAAATGTACCCAGGTATTCTAGCTGAGCGTTAACAGTTTCTCCCTTAGTTCCATAGCTTCTTATCCTAGGTACTGTGCAAATTTCCTCTCGCCAGAGATTGCGGTGGGGTTATGAATGAAAAGCCTGAGACGAAGGTAACAGGCCCTGACGTTCACACATTTCTGCTGAGTGGGTTACAACTTAAACATGGGTATAAATAAATGAATATAAATACTCTCATGCAGTATTACCGCCATTTAATCTTTGTTCCGCTCAGACAGTTCCTTCTGGAACTATTTAAATTTGGGTTATTTTGAACAGGCAACCAGAATATAAAACATAAAAACAGCCCCCAGTGAAATTTCAGAATCACACATCCAATTTTTTCCACAAGGCTCTTGCCTTGAATATAGTAAGAAATTACACATATTGCAAGAATCTATCAGGACTTAATCTGTAACTGAAGCAAAAAAGGATGCTTTAGATCACGCTAAGGTTTAGCATTCATGCATGTTGCCCAACAAACAAATCTTTACACTTTGTGAACCATACCACTATTCTTTCTTCATCAGTATCGAAAGTTTCTTCAGAGAGATCGACATGTTTTCCAGCACACAGCTAACTAAAAATTCATCAGCTCTTAAGAATCTCTAATAACATCTTGTGTTGGGTCTGGCTGAGATGAAGTTAATTTTACCCACAGCAGCTCCCATAGTGCTGGCCTTTGTATCAGTAGCTAGAAAGGTGCGGATAACGCACCCGTGTTTTAGGTACCACGAAGCAGCACTCGCACAGCATCGAAGCTGTCTTTCCAACACTGCCCCTGCCAAGGGAGTGGGCGCGATCTTGGGAGGGGACACAGCCAGGACAGCTGACCCAAACTGACCAAAGGGATATTCCATACCACAGGACACCAGCTCAGCAATAAAACCTAGGAGAAAGGAGGAAGGTGGGAGGCATTCATTATTTACGTTTGTCTTCAGGAGCAACAGCTACGTGTACTGGAGCCCTGCTTCCCGGGAAGTGGCTGGACATGAGAAGAAGAGAATAAATCTTGGTGTTGCTTCACTTCCCTTTGCTTTTGCATCATTAAACAGCCTTTGCCTTGACCCACAAGTTTTTTTTTCTGTCTTGTTTTCTCCTCCACACTGTTCTGCTGAGGAGGGGAGTGGCAGAGTAGCTTGGCGGGCACCTGGCCTCCAGCCGAGGTCAGCCCATCACACATCTCAACCGTTTTCTTGGGGAAAAAGAAGTAAGAGGAAAAGAAACGAGAAACCTACAATGCAGTGAATCAGACTGTTATACATCATGTATTTCTACATAGAAGATGTAAGTGAACATTTCTGTAACTTTCTTCCTCGACATTAAAATATTAATTTCTTCACGGAGAGGGTGGTGAGGCACTGGAACAGGTTGCCCAGAGAAGCTGTGGATGCCCCATCCCTGGGAGTGTTCAAGGCCAGGCTGGACGAGGTTTTGAGCAACCTGGTCTAGTGGAAGGTGTCCCTGCCCATGGCAGGGGGGGTGGAACTAGATGATCTTCAAGGTCCCTTCCAACACAACCCATTCTGTGATTCTATGATTCTATGATTATTATTCCCATTATTAAATTTGTAGAGGAGAAAGAAATAGTCTGCCATTAGGACTGAAATTTCTTAAGGGGTATACTCATTAACAATAATTTCAATACTTAGATCATTCATACCCAAGTTTACAGAAAATCTTATTAAAAAAAAAATTATAATTTTGTGGCACATACAAAGATTTTATCTGAATGCCTAAACTCCTGCACAAGTAAAAAATTTGCCATGAACATGAAACATGAAGAAGTGGCATTTTCCTAACATAGGACTGTACATTTTTCTGTTGCGTATGCCCTGATTGTATTCATAAACAGGTATATGGGAAAAGAACAACAAACAAACAAGATTCGATCCATCTGCAAGATTTCCATCTCCAGGATACCAAAGAAGTGGTTGCAAACTGTATTCAGCACCACACAGCTCACAGGACATCTGCAGAGGCAGATGTGTTTTCGAAGTGGAAGAAGCAGTGGCCGCATAGGGTGGGAAACACCAGCACAGACAGCACGAACCCTTCCCTCCAGGGAGAAAAGCAGTGCTCTGTGATTACCCTCGTTTTCCCTCAGGCATCCAAACCCATCAGGCTTCCCTGCCAAGCTCCTGTCACCCACTGGCAACCACATTAAAAACGATTCACATCACGGTATTATTAGAATAAGCTAGTTTTAGTTATAGAAATGTGAATTTGGCAGTATTGCTACAAGCATACACAAATTATACGAATCAATTACTATTTGGAAAACAAACTGGCTTGCATTTACCAGTGATCAATGATACAGGAGAATACTGAACGACACTCAAGCACTTGTAGACCATGTAAGCTGTGCCAACCAAATATATAAACTCAAGAGCCTTAGACATCTACCTAGAGCTCTCCGAGCTGATGCCTCTGGACCCATCGAGTTTACGGGGGTGTGATACATACACAGTAACTTTCAGCTGCAACAGATGAATCCTTTATTGCAGCCTTAGGATGAGATGAACGATGGAAAAATTAATTTAAAAAGACATTCACTTACAGAAAGTCAGAGCTATTAAAAGAAAAAAGATGACAGAATAAACACCGGGCTCTGGATGTAGCTGCAACACCTCACACCCAGAAGTCCTTCAAGTATTAAAATGACAAAGCTTTCGGAAAAATGACCACACTGGAAGAGATTTGGGAGAGACCTAGAATTGATTTGTGCAGATCATTAGCTGAACAAGCTGTTTCCTTTCAGACCATGTTTTATCTTGCTAGCTTTCAAGAATATTGTCATCCCATTTTTTCCACATTTTTCTGGGGAAGTTTGTATTTGTTTTCAAATTCAACGCTTTCCACCTACATTTTTCCCAAATTAAAAGCATTACTACACGACCAATCACTCGATCTTTGTCAGTGTACAGCACAATACACGTGTTGCTGTAACACGTTTACATGCATGCACTTTGCCTACAGCAAATACAAGATCATGCAACTTACCCAAAATCTTTCACCCCAATGAGAGAATTCCTACCTCGTGACAGGAGAAGAGCCGAACACCTTCCATTTGATGGAAGACTGGGTAGTGGGTGTTATCAATTGTATCACGGCGGTAGACATCTCCCACTGCCAGAAAGGCATCCAGGCCGGAGTGTATCAAGTCCCACTGATGAGCTGATGTATGTGCTCTTAGCATGTGATCACGATTCAAGTAATAGTTATCCTCTTTCCTTCTGCTGGCATGGTTTCGTGGGATAAGCAAACTATCAAAATTCTGCTGTACTGTAACCACTGGAGAAAGGCCGTCGTAGACAGAGAAGAGCGGAGTCCCACGGCGTCCTACATACTGTTTGTAAAAGTGGTCCTTCACCTGCTCCTTGATTAGCCACAAAGGGTGATGCTTTTTGTTGTGCAAGTTCTTGCCCACCTTGGAAAGAATCTTCTCTGTGACATTGCTGTAGTCATCCTGAGGATAAGCTTTGCCAAGCAGTTCCACAGTGTTTGAGCAGGGCGTGTTGACAGCAAAATCTGAAGGCACAGACTTGGATGAAGAATGTCTTGAATGGGTGGGAATTCCTCTTACATTCACTTTTGGTGATAAAGCTGTTTTAGAATACTTAGCTACCCTCATGAATTTCCAGAGCATTGCCATTGCAAACTCTTTTATGACCTAGAGAAAGAAAAAAAAAAAATTAAAAAATTCAGTTAGGATCTGCAATCTTGCCGCAGGAATTGCCAGTATCTCAGGGATAAGTAAAATCTGAATGTCTACTTGATTAATGCGACAAAGTTCCCATGATAAACCACTTTTTTGACTTCAGAGGAGGGAAAACATCCTTGTGATCAAATTTCAGCTAGGATATCATATTCAATTATCAGTCTTCTGCATCACTGCATCAGCATTAATGACTCTAGACCTTGCCTTAACCCCACTCCATATACTGCTACTCTTTACAGCTGAATAAACATCAGCCCTTCTTTGAAACAATACCTTTCATCTGGTTAAAGTACAAGGCAATAACTGAATAATACTTATGAAAAAACCAGAAATTTAACAATGCCCTCTGGCAGTCAGGGACTTGCTAATAATAAGCCCCCAAGCATTAACTTATCGTTGTATCATCTTCCCCATTAGCAGAAGCTACAGGAGGCACTCCAACCAGATGCATGTGGCACACACTAACCAATCATCACTAATTCTTACTTAATGCCAAAAAAAACCCCGTTTAACCTTTCACACCACTGAACCACTGTGAAAAAACAGATGGCCAGACCACAAGGTATATATTTCTATATAAACAGCATATTAAGTTCACATACGAGTATTGCACAAGATTCGCAATAAAGGCTCCACATAATCAGAACCAATGTTAGCGTTTTAGGGTGAGCACAAAATCCCTTTTCCATATGTTCCCAGAATGGCTATTTTTATGGCTTACACCGCTGTACCAGGCAGGGAGGCTCCCAAATATTGGGAAGGTGAATGAAGTGATGAGATGCTGAAAGAAGTCTGAACAAGTAATTTCCTATCCAAGGGCCGTCTTTACACCTCCGCCCAGTTTGCAAACAGGCTTTGTGCTTCAGGGATAGGCAGCTGCATTACTTTCTAGTGTTTGAAGAGGTAATTCCAAGACCAAAGAGTTTTGAGGGTCACGAACCCTTCAGTCATTCCAAATGCATAAGCTCATTCTGAGATACAAAATCACCTGAAAAATCTGTGACTGGGCTATAGCTGGGCTTCACAAATATTAGCTTGGCATAGGTTCCCTTACGATAATTAAGCATTACAATTTGCTTATTACAGAATAGGGAGACAGGCATTAGAAGTTAAGTGACTGGGGAAAGGCATCTGCTCCAAACAACAAACTGGTTTGTATTTCTCTATGAACCAAGAAATACAGGGCGAAAAAATTTTCCGTGAAAGTCTTCTTAAAGAAATGGGGGAAGAAAGGACATAAGCAATGAACAGACCACAGTTTTCAAGGGACAGCTTTCCCTGTTTACGCTAGGATTACAGTATCTGGCTAGCTTTCCACAGAAACATGAGAGAAGCAAGTGTAAAAAAAAAAAAAAACAAACACAAAAAAAAAACACCCCACCAAGATGAGTTTTCAAACTCCGAAACTCAAAAAGATACATGCAAGTGGAACTGACAGGTTCTAGAATACAAAGTCCCCAAAAAACAGATCTATAAAAGGTGACAGGTATGTTCATGTTTGGCTTCCTTTCTTCTGGCTCACATCTGGATGTTCTCTATAGGTCTATCTCCTGAAGTAATTATACCTCAATAAATCAAAATAAAGGCAAATTAGGTAGTCAGAAATTAAATTTGGCAGGGCAGCATTAAGATTACTAAATATTTGGTTTAACCCTTATTTCTTAAGAAGAAGGAGCAGCTACAACTTTTACATAGTTTTGAAACTTTTAAGAAGGATTAGGTTTTTCGGGGGAGGTGGATTTGTCTTGGGTTTTTGGGTGGGTTGTTTTTTTTTTCTACTTTTAAAAAGTTTGCAAAACTCCTTCACCAAATTAGTTCTTGGCCATTACTGATAAGGTTCTTCCATAAATGAATTCACACAAACACACACCAAAAACCCCTATGACATAGAAGGCTAAACTAGGGATAGTCTTACATTTTGAAAAGAGGTTCCATTTTCCCCAAACATACGTTCTCCTTCATGGAAAGCGAGTTCTCGTTTTCAAACAGCTGCTTGAAATACCCAGTTCTAGTCAGATAATGAATTCAGCTTCCCTTAAGTAAATATCACCATCTGCCCATGCATTTATTTTTCTATAAAATTCAATTCAAAACTTACACATAACTGTAATGTACGAAAAACTCTCGTGACTATCGTGAGTCTCGTGATGTTTGCTGCTTTCCTAAATAACATTCCTCTGAGAATCAGACAACCATATGAGTAGTTTACCTTTCACATGAACAGTTCTTCTCACAATTATAACTTTATGGAAAAAGAAATTAGAACATAAACAGAAGTGTTGGGCGGGGGAAACTTTTGTGTGTTTGTTTATTTTAAGATTAATGATTTTTAAGGAAGACTTTAATGTGTACATTTTTAATGTCTTATCTGATGATTTTTCAGTATGTGTAATGAGCAACACTGCTATCAGTCTCATAGTTAAGAAACACTGATTTTTCTGAGTGATACATACTTTTACAAACCTGTAGAGGAAAAACCTACAGATAAACTCATGTCAGAGCTTTCATCCTCACATTATGCTTGTGCCTTAAATAGTTAAATTGCATTACTAATCTGCAATTCTAATCTAAAGCAAAATCTACTGTGAGCAGTAAGAAGAAAAATGTTAGTTATCCAATGATATCCAACAAGTTATCCAATGCCCAAGTACTGCAAACAACAGCAAACAAGCAGTAAAGGAGCCATTGACATGGTGTCACACACGAGTGCCAGAAACACTGAAGTCCTTCACCAACCCTCTTCTGCTCCTATCTCCCACCACAGACTCATGCATGCTACTGCCAGGATCATTACAGAAAAATGGCACTGGACTTGGTTCAACTCAGCAGGTGACAAATCACATTTGGGGAGAGAAGTCATACAGAAAGAAGGAAAAAGCCACGTTTACACTCTTTACACTGTACAAGAAACCTTCAAATTAAAGTATGTGTTTACCAGGGCAGAGAACAACACTGGAAAAAACCCAAAATCTCTTTGCTTATCTGTTGGCAATAAATGACTGATGTTAAGTATAATACTTACTTTAATAATAAGTGTAATCAATACAGAGTTATTTCTAGTAGATATCTATCTAAAGGTTTGAAAGAGCAGTTTACCTTTATCATTTTCTTCCTTTATTTCCACCATGCTTATTATTTGGCAGTAAAACGAAACTGGTTTCTGTGCACACTGACAAAATGTGAATCCCACAGCAAAGGCTGCCAGACAGCTAACAATCACAGCAAGCCAACCCGCAGCTGTGGGTCCTGTCGCTGAAAACAAATAGATAAATGTGAAATAAACATGGAACAACCACTACTGGCATCTGTGATCCAAAGATGGCAAAGAGCTCCACCACCATTACCAGTGGATCTTGTGCTGTGGGCCCAACAGCGGCTCTGACTGGCGGCAGGGAGCCAACACAGGGTTTTGGCAGCAGGCTGCTCTGCCGGCAGCCCCAGCGAGGCTTCTCAAAACACTGCAGGTGGACAGGCAAGCACCAGGCCCACCATCTCCTGCTACACAGGGCCTTATCATGATGCTGCTGCTGCCACACTCCCAGGTGCCTCAGCAGCTCCTCTAAGCTCCGTGGGCTTGTCCCTGTACCTGAATCCCTATACTGTGGTGTCTGATACAACCTAGGGAGTTTTGATAGGGATGATACCATACACTATGTTTCATCAATACATTTGGAACCATGCCTGCATGTGGGTATGAGCTTTTGAGCAGCTTCAAGGCAGACCAGGGGGCAGGAGGTGGCACCCATGCCACCCAGGGATGAAGTCACCAGAACAACCCTGTCTGCACTGTGGACAGACCAGGCACAGATGTGAGCCCACTGGCCAAAGTCAGTCCTCTTCCCACACCCTGTGCCATTTCCACAGAGGTTGCAGTTGAGGGCCAAGGCTCCTCCATCCCCCCCAGAAAACCAGCCACCCCTGTGCAGCACACAGCAGACATCACATGTGCAGAGGTACAACACAGTCAGGAGCTTAACCACAGGGAAACAGGAGCCAGAATACAAAAAAACGATGTTAGCTGGGAGCATGTGCAAAAGGCAGTTTGATATGTTAAGGGATCACATAGCTATACTGTTAAGGTGTGTCCTTTCATGACTAAATCCAGGTTTCAATGCCACAGTGCAGCAAGGATTAAGACAGCATTATCACAGCTGCAGAGGTATTTGTCGCAAGCCCACTTTACTCCACTGATGTTTAGGAAACCATCAAAGACTCAGTGAAAGCTCTCCTTACACCTGCCTTGAAAAAGGAGGAGAAGAGAGGGGTGGTTTAGCAGCTCACAATGAGAAGGCCTGCGCACTGCTGTTGCTTCATTCACCCACCTCTCCTAGAAAAGTGGTAGAGGGAGAACACCCTTGTTCGAGCAAACTAGAGCCCGCCATTGAAGCAAACGGGGATGCTTTCAGGGCCATTTGCTAGGTGCTCGTACCTGTGAGGCAAGGGCATCCTCACTCACGCTGACCGCGCTTCCGTATGCCCAGAGCCTTTTACTGTTTATGGCTGCCGAAAGACAGATGGGCGACTGCATACATAAACTGAAGTACACGACGGGTTTGAAACCAAAATTCTACAAAGATGAGAGTCTGCCTCCTATCCAAGAATAGCTAATTAATGCAAGAGACTGAAGTGCCATGGAAAATGTTAGAAAAGTTGGGCTGCCACCATTTTGTGATGTGACAGCTTTTATCTACCGTATGTGTGGGGAGGGGAGTTCAACCAACATAGCATATGTTAAAACAAAAATTATAAACATATGCTAGGCTGCTAAAATTGGACATTAACCAGTCTGCTTAGCAATTTAGCTAAGCATTGAATTGTAGTTGTGAAAACTATGCGGGCATACGGCAGCAAATCTTGTTGCACTGCCATGACCATAGCTACATTGCATAGGATGTAAGAGAAATTATTTTGCATGCAATAATAATAAGATCAGATTATTTTTTTTC